TACATGCGCAGTGAGGTAAGTTTGCCTGCAGCATGTGTGCTGGCACAAATAGCTCTGCGTGCCATCACGGAAATAGACATTAGTCTGCATGGATGTACATACAGGATGTATCAAAAGTCAGACCCCACAGGCCAACAATGAGCCATAGAAGACATCACATTAGAATTTGCAAATGTGTTAAACTATATTTAAGAATATTCAAAAGTCACATATCGAAGAAGTCAGGAAATTGTTGTTATTTGTCGGGCTAAGCCCAAAAACAACAAAGACCTTGGGGGTCTTCTAGTCCAACCCCCTACTCAAGCAGGAGACCATACCATTCCAGACAAGTCCAATCTCTTTCTAAAAACTTCCATTGTTGGAGCATCCACAACTTCTAGTGGCAAGTAGTTTCACTGGTTAATTGTTCTCAGTGTCAGGAAATTTCTGCTTAGTTCTAGGTTGGATCTCTCTTTGATTGATTTCCATCCATTGCTTCTTGTCTTGACTTCTGATTCTTTGGGAAACAGGATGACTGCCTTCTTCTTTGTGGCAGCCCCTCAACTATTGGACCATTGCCATCATGTCACCCCTAGTTCTAGACTAGACATACCCATTTCCCGTAACCGTTCTTCTTATGTTTTAGCCTCCAGCCCCCTAATCATCGTTGTTACTGTTCTCTGCACTAAACCCCACATCTAAATCCCAGTGGGAATATCTGGACTTTGGAACTGTTGCAATCTTTTTTTTCTTGGAAATTGGATTGAAGGACATGGAGGGTGGATTGAACCAAGGACAGTGGTACCTTTGCATGTAAAGCTTATACATTTATTTGTTGCAATATATATATCCCGCAGCAATCCATCCAGTTCCTGGGAGCAAGCACATCTTCTAATTGCTTTGTGTATATATCTTGTGTGATTTGATTTTGCAAACTGGCGGCTCTTATCTCGCATCTCTGTTCTCCTCTCCAGATATTAAATACTAGATCTTTGAAAACGTGTTAATGAAGAGACTGCACTTGTCACTTCCAAGCACTGATTTTTAGCTCCAGCAGTTGCTCTTAATCACACTTGTGGACATAATTTATTAGAAGGCATTGGGAGGAAATAACCCCTTGTAATTAGCCTTCAGGAGATGACACAGTGATGCCTCTAAAAGTGCATCGTTAATTTTGAAATGTCATACGGAATTGAATTTACCAGAGCTATGCCAATTTATTGTCCAAGTGAGCAATGGCATATTTTAATCCACCTTCCAGGGCAAAATTCCCAGCTAGGATGTCGGGGAGTAAAGTTTTGATTTAGGCCATGAGTTTGATACTGTCAGCCACAGGTAGTCCTCAACTTGTGACCCCAATCGAGCCCCAAATTTTTCTTGCATAAAGGAGACATTTGTTAAATGAGTTTTGCTCCATTTTTACGACCCTTTCTCGCCCCCAGTTGTTAAGCGAGTTCCCTGCGTTTGTTAAATTAGGAACCCGGCTGTTAAGTGAATCCGGCTTCCCCAGTTGACTTTTCTTGTTGAGAAGGTCGCAAAAAGAGGCCAAGTGACTCCAGGACACTGAGAGCCGTCATAAATATGAACCAGTTGCCAAGCGTCCGAATTTTAATCAGGTGACCACGAGGAAGCTGCAACGGTCATAAGTGTGAAAAAACATCCCTAAGTCAGTTTTTTTCAGTGCTGTTGTAACTTTGAACAGTCGCTGAATGAACTATTGTAAGTTCAGGACTACCTATAAAATGCCTTTGCCCAACACTCAAAGGAATAAATACTATTGTGTTGCTTTCTGAGAAGGAAGTTGGATCCTTCATTAGCAATGTTGATTTCATTGGGGTGCACGTCTGTTGTTTTTTTCTCCAGGGCGGTGACATTTTGGCCCCTGTCCTTCGTCTGGAGCAAACTTTCCACCTACGAGCAATTGAGGCATCGCTTCCAGCATCTCCAGGTCATCAGCAGTGAGAAGGCGGCTTCAGATCAGGCCCAAACGATGAGGTAAGAATTCCACTGCACGAAATGTTCTGTATGCCAATAGGCTCCAGATGACCAATATCCAAAGATCCTACAGGAAGGTTGACTTACAACAGATCCTTTAGCGACCGTTCAGAGTTACAACATCACTGAAAAAAGCGACACCAACAGGCACATTGACCTACAGTCAGGCTACGAACCCCTCAGAATCCAAATCAACCACACAGCTAACCAGAGACCGCACCGGCCTTCAACCAACCCGTTCAGAGAGAGACAGGGAGGGAGGGAGAAAGAGAGAGAGAGGGAGTGGGGAGAGAGAGAAAGAAGGAAAAAGAATGAAAGAAAGAAAAAGAATGGAAAGAGGGAAAGAAAGAAAAAGAGAAAGAAAGGGAAAAAAAGAAAGAAAGAGAATGGAAAGAGAAAGAAAGAAAAAGAAAAAAAGAAAAAGAAAGAAAAAAGAAAGAAAGAAAGAAAAAAGAGAAAGAAAGAAAGAAGAAAGAAAGAAAGAAGAAAGAAAGAAA